GTTATCAACAAGACAGGTAATAAGTGTTGGACAGGTTGTGGAGAAAAAGGAACATTTATTCACTGCTGTTGGGAATGTAAACTGGTACAGCCACTATGGAAAACAGTATGGAGGCTCCTCAAAAAATTAAGAATAGAGGTACCATATGACCCGGCAATCCCTCTTCTGGGTATCTACAAAAAGAACTTGAAAATATTTATTCAGAAAGATATATTCACCATTATGTTCATTGCAGCCTTATTCACAGTGGCCAAGACCTGGAAACAACCAAAGCGTCCTTTGGTAGAAGTTTGGATAAAGAAGATGTGGTACATATGCACAATAGAATACTACTTACCCATAAGAACATATGAAATGCTGCTGTTTGCAACAACATGGATGGATCTTGAGAATATTATGCTAAGCGAAGTCAGTCAATCAGAAAAACCTAAGAACCATATGATTTCACTCATATGTGGAATATATCACTGAAGCTCATAGACAACAGTATTGTGTTTGTCAGAGAGAATGGGATGGGGGAGCAGTAAAATATAAAGAGAGCCAAATATATGATGATAAAAGATGATTTGACTTTGGGTGGTGGGTACACAATGCACTATATAGATCATATATCATAGAAATGTATACTTGAAACTTATGATCCTATTAACTAATGTCACCTCAATAAATTTTTTTTAAAAAATACCATTTGATCTCTATTTCTGAGAATTGACTGTGTCACTTGTCCATTTTTCTGTGTGCTAGTTTTTTAAATCTTTTTTTGTGTTGTCTATATAAATGGTATCAGAACTTTATTTTTAAATTTTTTCAAAGTTTCTCTTTTATATTTATTTCATTTTGCCATACATTCTGTATTTTTGTAGTCATTTTAGATGATTTCCTTTTAAAGGCTAGCATCTCTCTCTCACTCCAAAGAATGAGTACTTTTAGTACAATGCTGCTAAAATATGTGTAGAATATGAGCAGTCCTGCATTTCTTGTTTATAAAGATAACAGATTGTGAAACCCTTCAGGCAAAACTTTTCAATTCTGTTCCTACAAGAAACATCACAGCAATACTAAGGAAGGAGAGAAAGGAAGGGATTTTCAAAGAAAGAAGCTGAAAGAGGAAATCAAAGAGAAAGTAAATAAAAAGAATATGGAAAGCTTTGTGAGTAAAATATATTTCTTCTACAGTGAATGACAAATAATTATCCAAAAATTATTTTATGTAAATTACTAATTACATTCTCAGTATCATGTTAGTGTTTTATTATTTTTTCTACTATAACATCAATTTTTCCTTATAAACACACATAAATGATATAACTATGTATTAGAACATGAATGTATATAATTCAGTCTTTATTTACAAAAATGTTGTTAGTTTGTGTGTACACACACACACACAACCTATGTTTCCACTTGTTTCATTTTTGATGTGTTTTAATTTATATTCTTTGAAAAATAATTTATATTTCCAAGTTAGAACATTTAAGAGTTATCAAATATTTTATATCTACATTTCTACCTTTGAATGTATCATAAATTATGTAACCAAATCCCAATCAACAATCATACAATTGTTTCCAAGTTTACTATATTATCAATTATCCTACGACCATCTATGACAAAGATTTTTATTTGAACACTTAGGGCCACGATAAATTCCAATAAGTGAATTCTAATATTTGAAAACCTTTTATTGTTATCACCATATAAAAGTTTTATAAATATAGTCCATTAATTTGTAAAACTGTATTTCTCTTATCACATTATCAATAGTATTATCTAACTTTCAAAATCAGTAAAACATGCAAAAAGTATCTTATTTTAGTTGCATTTTCCTGAAAATCAGTGTGACTGGGAGTCTTTATACTGCTTGTCATTTTCATTCTTTTGCTTTGAATTGATTCTTTTAATCTTCAAATTGGATTATTAATTTTGAAAATCATTAATGAGTGTTCTAGGTATATTAGTAAAATTAGCTTTTTCTATTAACAATTTCCCTGTTTATGGTTTTGTTTTTTGCACGCAAATGTTAATAATAATCATTTTCCTAAGTGAGCTTTTAGTTTTAGGTATCAACCTCAAAAATGCTTTTACCATATGCCTTGCTCACAAATATTTACTCAGGTTTGCTTCTTTTATTTTTTGGTTTCGTTAATTTAGATTTAAATTTATAAGTCACTTAGATTACATTTGTGTTTTAAGAGGGAAAGTTCCAATTTTATTCTTAGTTTTCCCAAATCAATATCTGATTGATCAACATGATCAATTAACTGTTATTTTACCTGTACCCCAGATTTAAAATATATTATCAAATATCAGCTTTTCTTTTATTCTTAAACGTGTGTCTTCAGTTTCATCGATTTTATCAGTTAGTAAGTCTATTCACTCTTCTATTGCCTTTTAATCACTATGGCTTTATAATACCTTTTCTTATGCAGTAAAATCCCCACATGCACACATTTTTCTTTTAATTAAAATACTTTTGACAAGTTATTTGTTTTTCTAGGAGCTAAACAGTTACTTTAAAATGAATCAAAAAATTCAGTTATGAATTTAATCTGTACATCTTGTAGAGAAATATCTTTATCTAAAAAATTTATTTTATTGTATTTGTACCTATACACTCTCATATATACACGTAATGTATTTTCACATGTCCTTAAGAGTTTTATATCTTTAAATAGATTTTTCAATTTGTATTAGTTCAAGCTAAATTGAATGGTATTGTATTGCCTAGTTTAAAAACATCATATCTAGTGAGCTTTGTAAGTTACAGTTAGTTGCAACTCGACACTGGTTATTAAATTATTTCATTTTATTGAAAATTTTTATTTATTTACTTTTAGGGAGAGGGGGAAGGGAGGGAGAGAAGGAAACTCTGTGTGTGGGTGCCTCTCACAGGCCCCCTACTGGGGACCCAGCAGCAGGCCAGGCGTGTGCCCTCACTGGGAATCGAACCACAAGCCTCCATTCAGTCCTCTGATCCACACCAGCCACGGCTTTTTATTTCATTTTATTTTGCTGACTCCCTGAGGGCTGCGCAAAGGGTATGCCTCTCAGAGACGCAAAGAAGCCCCTGAGGGGACTGGCCTGCAGGACAACGTCCCGTGGTTGGCCAGGCAGGCACCACGCAGCGCACCCTCCTCCCGCGGGAGACAACAGATGGGGCCAGGGAGGCCGGCCTGGCGCGCAGCCAGTTTTCTGGCGCATTCCTCCCGGGCCCAGCCTGCTACCCCAGCAGGCAGCCTGCGGCCCCTACCTCCACCCCTGGCTTGGACTAGGCTGGCAGCCGGCAGCCAAGAACTTTGGCAGTCACCTGAGGATGCGGCTGCCAAATGATCTCTTTATCATTAAAGAGATTTCAGTTGTTTCCTGGTGACATTCAAGGTAAAAAAAATCATATTATGTGTAAAAAGTGGTAATTCTGTCACTTTTGCTAATCAGAATGTTAATATGCTCTTCTGCCTAATGTCCCTGACCTAAAAAATTCACAACATTGTCAGAGTGTGATGATGGGCAGTTTTGGCTTTTCCAAATTTATTAGCAATGATGCTGTTTCAAGATAACCATATGCAATACATAGATGGAGGTTTTCTTTCTATTCCAATTGTTGCAATGCCCAATTTTAAAGTATTGAATCCATACCCTCTTAATTAGATGGGAAGTCAACCTTACTGCATTACAGTTCTGGTTGCTACATTTCAAATGTGCAATATAAATATCATTTCACACCTGGCAGTATGGCTATCCTCAATAAATCAACAAACAAGAGCTGGAGATGATGTGGAGATAAGGGGACCCTAGTACACCGTTGGCAGGAATACAGACTGGTGCAGCCACAGTGGAAAACAATATGGATTTTCCTCAAAAAAAATTAAATATGGAACCGCCTTTTGACCCAGCAATCTAATTTCTGGGAATATATCTTAAGAATCCTGAAACACTAACCAGAAACAATATATGCATCCCTATGTTCATAGCAGCAGCATTATTTACAATAGCCAAGGTCTGTTAAAAGGCCAAGTGCCCATCAGTAGATGAGTGGATAAAAAAGCAGTGATACATTTACATACTGGAATTCTAGTGGCTGAAAAAAAGAAGGAATACCCTTTGCTACAGCACGGATGGGTCTGGAGATTATTATGCTAAGCAAAATAAGCCAGTCAGAGAAAGACAAACATCATATGACCTCACTCATGTGTGGACACTAATGAACAAAAACTGACGAACAAAATAAAACCAGAGGCCTGGAAACCGGCATAGAATGACGTATCTCAGAGGACAGGGGGCTTGGGGGGGGGGGGGACTGGAAGAGATTAGCCAAAGAACATATATGCATACATGCATAGCCCACGGACACAGACCACACTGTGAAACCTAGGAGGAGGGAGGGAGGAGTTGAGGGGTAGGAGTGCAAAAGAGGAGAAACGGGGACATCTGTAATAGTGTCAACAACAACAAAAAAATTCAACGAAATTTTATATCCTGAGAAGATAAACAAGATCAGGAAAAAAAAAATCTAAGTCTTGAAATATGTATACACACACACACACACACACACATAGATATATATATATATATATATATATTATATATATATATATATGAAATAGATCAAGTACACTCGGAATGAATCACGTCTCCCCGATTTGTCCTCATTGCTAACGCGAGACAGGGCCTCTCCTGTAACCCAGCCAGTCCATCCCCTGCCCCACTCCCTCCGTGTAAAGAAGTGGCTATAAACCCTTTTCTCTGCCTTTCCGCCTGGCCCGACTCCAAGTCGAGCTGTGCGGAGGGAATGCCCGCAAGACTCAGCGGAGCCCCTCGGGGCGACCGGCCTGCAGGGACAGAGCCGCGCGGGTGGCCAGGCAGGCACCGCGCAGCGCGCCTTCCTACCGCGGGGGACACCAGATGGGGCCAGGGAGGCAGGGCACGCAGCCAGCTCTCTAGCGCGTTCCTCCCGGGCCCAACCTGCTCCCTCGCAGACCGCCTGCTTCAGGGGCCCCTACCTCCACCCCGGGCTGGACTGGGATCGCGGCCGGCGGCCGGGAAGTTTGGCAGCCACCTGAGGATGCGGCGCCGCGCGCTCCGCCCCACTCACCGCCGAGCCGGTTGTCTGCTCGGCACCCGCGCCTCCAGGCCTGGCGTCTAACTTTCTCCGCTGTGGATAGAGAAGGGGGCGGGGAAAGCGAGAGAAAGGGGAGGGTGTTCCCAACAAAAAGAAACTAGAGCCCGCGGGGAGGGGGCGGTGCAGGACTCAGGGCGCGGTGCGGTGGACTCTGTCTGGGCTGGGCTGACGCACCCGGGCAGAGAGACCCGGACTCCGACTTAGCCTATCTCTGTGCACACCGCTGGTCAGGGCTCCGAGAGGCGGGGGTCCCGCTAGGGTCGCTACCAAACTGAAGACGAGAGGGAGAAGGTAATAAAGAAAAAGGACTTGTCTCCGCTCTAACGTGTAGTGACCGGAAGAGATAAGCACAAGTCCACTGTGGCGTCTTAGCATGCACAGGCAGGTTCCACAGGCACGGGCCGCGAGGAAGGGTTCTGTTAGGGCTCGCTGATCTCGGAATGGACCAGGAGAAACCACTCTCACAAAATTCCCCGTTCTTCTTAGCTGCTCCCACCCCACACCCTTGGCTGGGAACTAGCCTTTGCCTTGAAAGGCTGACTGGAAACACTGGGCTCCGGGCCCAGGGTTTTTGTTTTCTTTTCTACAGGATGCGGGTAGGCCAATTGGCAAGTAGTGGAAAGGGGGCCTGGGTAGAGAGGAGGGGAGCAGGGTGCCTGTGTTTTCTGACATTTGGTGAAAAATGCCAATCATTAATTGTCCTCCTTAGGCACAAAACCTTTTTTCAAACTAATGGGGTCAGGTCTGGAGGAAGCACAGGAACTGGGAGAATCTTAATGTCCCTGACCTTATAGAAAATAAAAACGACAGGAGTAGTATGGATTAAGGTCTGACAAGTCCTTGGCAGTGTTCCACTATGGGAGAACTTTGAACAGGGAAAGGCATACGGGAGTGGCGTTCTGGAATTTTCTGTTTTACTTTGTATGTATGCCATTTGTTAGTATGCTCATAAGAAATTTTTTAAATTCATATTGTATTTTTTAGTAGTAATTGCACAGGACATAATTCAAGAGATAGTGTTATGTTGAAATAATAAAACAGAGACTTCTGGTCAAGATAGAGGTGTAGGAAGACATGGTTCACCTCTTCACATAACCACATCAAAATTTCAACTAAAATATAGAACAGCCATCACTCAGAACTATCAGAAATTGAGTTGAATGAAAGTCTGACAACTACAACATTAAAGAAATTACATCTGTCCATACTGGTAGGAGGGGCATCCATGCTGAATGGGCTGGTCCCACATCCAAGTGTGGTAGATAAAGTTTGGGAGGGGTATCTCTGGAAGAGAAATCCCAGCCCCACAGCAGGTTGCCCCCGCCCAGGGTTCCAGGGCCAGGAAGATAAATCCCAACTCTGACTGCAAAAACCAGTGGGCATTGAGTTGGTGGAAGAAGTTTCCGGAGCCCTAAGCAGTTCGTGTTAAAGAACACACACACACAGACTCATCTACACAGACTCACTCCCACTGAGCTGTGGAGCCAGGGTGGCAGCTTGGAAGGCTCCCAGTGGCATGCTGGGAAAGACTGAGATGTATAGCATCAAGGCAGGCGAGGCCATTGTCCCTTTTCTAAACTCTTCTTCTACAGAGCCGGCAAGTGGTGCTCTGTAGACTCTGAGACTCTGAGACTCTGTCAACCTGTCTTAACATTGTTTGACCCACCTTAGAGGTCCCAAGGGACTCCGCCCCACCCAATTTACAGGCCCACCCAAGCTGCTTTTCCATATAAATGGCTGGTCAAGGCTCCTGTCAAATAGCTTCCTAAATCCCATCAAACAATCAATAGCTGGCCCCAGGCCCATCCCTAGCAGCAGCCAGCCTAGATTCACAGCTTGGCTTTGCCTAGGAATCTCTAAGCACAGAATAAGTAGCAGGCATCTCAGATTGTTTTACAGCTCAGGCAGGGTGGTCCCAGGCAAAACACAGATGAGGGCTGACCTTGACCTCCACCATCCAGGAAATGCCAGGGCTAGCACACCCAGGGGACAGCTACAGACCACATCAGAGCACCACCACTCTGCCTCTGCACAGCTGATTGCCATGGAGGATGGAGGTTAGTGGTCAGTGGTCACAGCAAATCCTTAGAGCTGTCTAGCCTGTGTAAATCCCTCCTATTTATCTGCCAACAGCAACCAAGGCTCAACTGCTAGGGGATGGTATACTCAGCCTACATAAAGGGCACACCCAGAGTACCCAGCTTGGGTAATAGTGGATGCTGTGCCACTGGACCCTACAGGACACCTATTACATTAGGCCACACTACCAAGACACGGAGTCAAATCAGCTGTACTTAATGCATCGAAACAAACACAGGGAGGCTGCCAAAATGAGGAGACAAAGAAACATGGCCCTAATGAAAGAACAGATCAAAACTCCAGAAAAGCAACTAAACAAAATGGAGATAAGCAATCTATCAGATTCAGAGTTCAAAACACTGTTTATAAGGATGCTCAAGGAACTAAATGAGGGTCTCAACTGCATAAAAAAGATCTAGTCAGAACTGAAGGATACACTAATTGTAATAAAGAAAAACTTACAGGGAAACACCAGTAGAGTAAATGAAGCTGAGAATCAAATCAAAGATTTGTAAAATAAGGAAGCAAAAAAAGATGAGTCAGAACAACAAGAAGAAAAAAGAATCCAAAAAAATGAGAATAGAATAAGCAGCCTCTGGGACAACTTTCATGTCATAGGAGTGTCAGAAGGAGAAGAAAAAGAGCAAGAAATTAGAAATATATTTGGAAAATAATGAAAGAAAACTTCCTTAATGTAGTGAGAGGAATAGACATGCAAGTTCAGGAAGCACAGAGAGTCCTAAAAAGGATGGATCAAAGAGACCCACTCCAAAACACATCATAATTAAAATGCTAAGTTTAAATAAAGAGAGAATCTTAACATCAGGGAGAGAAAAGCAGTTAGTTACCTCTAGGAGAGTTCCCATGAAGCTGTCAGCTGATTTCTCAAAAGAAACTTTGCAGGCTAGACGGGATTGGCAAGAATTATTCAAAGTCATGAAAAGCAGGAACCTACAGACAAGATTGCTCTACTTTGCAAAGATATCATTTAGAATCAAAGGGCAGATAAAGAGCTTTCCCAACAAGAAAATACTAAAAAAGTTCATCATCACCAAACTATTATTATAAGAAATATTAAAGGGACTTATTTAAGAAAAAGAAGTCAAAACTATGAACAATGAAATGGCAAAAAATATATATCTATCAACAATTGAATCTAAAAAAAACAAACTAAGCAAACAAGAACACAGACAGAATCATGGTTACAGTGAGCGTTTTGATGGTTGCCAGATGGGAGAGGGGGGTGGGAAATAGGTGAAGAGGTGAGGGGATTAAGAACTACAGTAGGTAGTTACAGAGTAGCCATGGGGATGTACAGTACAGTGTAGGAAATGGAGCAGCCGAATTTATATGCATGACATGTGCAGGAACAATGGTGTGTGGATTGCCTGTGGGATTGGGGGATGCTGGGTAGAGGGGGGCAATTGGGGAAAACTTGTAGGACTACTGTAATAACATAATCAGTAACGTAATTTATTAAAAAAAGCATAGCACAAGCTGGTCAAAACTACAGGAAAATATGATACTATTTATTAGCTTAAGTTCATAAGAGTGATTAAGAATTTGAGCTCATGAATGTAAACATCTAATATGGCCACATGCAAAATGACAAAAAATTCAAGAATAAAATATCTTGTGAAATATATTGCTGTGGAGGATAAAGAAATTATTGAGAGTATGTCATATGCCCCAAATCACAAGTTTTGAGGGGAGTAGAATGATTGAAACCGATGGATGTTTTTCTGAAATCCTGATCTGATTTCAACTTGAACACTTCAAGGAATGATAAATTTACGGTTATTGTACTAATCCTGTCATTAGTTGCTCTATTGCTCCCTAGTTACATATCTTTGCATTAATTTCTTTTTACTAGTTTTTCTTATATTACCAAGGTCTGCTTAGAGTTAATATTGTACCTCCTTACATAAAATTATGAATTTGCAACAGCACTCTTCAGTTCCTCATTCCTATGTGTCATTGCTACTATGTTTCCTATGTTTTACATGCACACAAATGATAAACTACATAATAAAATATCTTGTTTTGCTAAAGCAGTCAGATGTCTTTTACTGTATGAAGAGAAGAAAAATAGAGCTTTTATATTTACCCACATATATACAATTTTAAGTGCTTTTCATTTTTTCTTATAGATAAAGTGTCACTTCCCTTCAGCTTTGGAGAAATTCCTTAGTATTTTTTTTTTTTTTTTTGTACTGCATTACACCTGGAAACAAATTTCTCTCAGCTTTTTTTATCTGAAAATATTTTTTATATTGTATGTATTTTTTTAATGGTGTCTTCACTGGGTATTGAATTCTGGGTGGACATTTGTCTTTTTTCCCCCTTATGTTTTGAGTTCCATTTTTAGCTATGGGGTTCATATTACTGGTTTTAAGGTAAACTTTTTTAGCTTTGCTTTTCTGCATTTACTTCTATGTGTGGTTTTCTTTCTATTTTTTTGTACTTAGATTTCTCTGAGCATCATAGATATGTAAGTTAATACTTTTCACCAAATTTGGGAAACTTTCAACCACCATTTCTTTAAATTACCTTCCTAATCCATGTTCTCTACCTTTTTCTTCTGTGAATTCAAGTAAATATATATTAACTACACAATGTTTTCTCGAAAGTCACCAAGACTTTATTTGCTTTTTCCAATTTTTTCTCTTTAAGTAATTTTTATGGATTGTTCTTCAAAACTTGTATTATTTCAATCTCCTGTTAAGCCATTACAGATGTTACTTTTCCATTCTGGTACTTCTATTTGTTTCTTTTTACATTTTCCATGTCTCTGTTGAGATTCCACATCTATGCATTATGACCATCATTTTCTTCAAATTCTTGAACATATTTATAATATCTGTTTTACTCTATTCCAATATTTGTTCCATCTAGGCATCTGTTTCTACAAGCTGCTTTTTTTTTTTTTTTTGACAA